AGTCAGAAGCTTTTAATCTGCATTACTATGCACAGAAATTCCAGTTTCAAGTTCTTTCCCACCCAGTCCTGCTTCCATTAAACATGCAGGAAAAGTTGTCCAAGTTTGCCACTCACATCATCAAATGTCTCTTGTTACTGGACATATTGTTAGGTGAGGACAGAAAGCTTAAACACCAAAATATTTCCACCTTTAGAAAATCATTCTAAAACCCAAATCCCTTGTGTGCTGGGGATAAGTTCGGGGAGGAAGTGCTTTTGCCCCCACCCTACTGGCCAGTGGCTGAAGTCCTGCAGGCCTTAACTGAATACCTAATACAGCACAATTAGAAAGAAAAGGAGAAAATTGCTCTAAAACCCATCAAATCATCCAAATTTAAACCCCATACCGCTCTGCTATCACTTCTTACTCCAGGATCACCCCCACACTCCCATACAAACTGTGCAATGAACTGGTAAGCATACACATCTCACTTCTTGCCTTTGTGAGCAATTTGCTTCTCAACTTCATTCCTCCAGTATTTAGAAAGTTTGGATAATTTCTACTGCAAATGCATTTGTGGACAAATGGTATTTAGATAATCTCAAAGTAGTGATATCTTACAGGTTAATTCTCGTCCAGTTCTGCAAATCAGCTCTTTATGAGAGCTGGTCTAACCACAATGTCTTTGGCTTAGTCTTTTCTAGGACAGACAAGCCAAAATATGTTAATCTCTTGCCACAAAACAGGACATTTAATCTCCAAGTTCTATCAGCACCCACAGAATTCCAGATTTACCCTAGAGTGGAGCTGAAGTTGCCCACCACATTTAATGACACTTAAGTAACCTCTCCTCTCTATATGATAGTATCCCATGAGGTGCATCTTGGGAGCTGCTCTTTTCCAGAGACATTTCAAGGCGTGATTCATTTCCCATCCAGTTAAATAACACATATACATTTCCTTTATGATCCCTGACTGACAAATTTCTGTGCTCATTCTTAAGGTCTATAGGTTAAAAACAGGCCCTTAGGAGCAAAGTACTGAATGGAAATTACTCCAATCCCTGATCATCCCATTTTCCTGAGCAAGTCCCCAGGTACCAGCACCACTTCCCAAAGCAGTGGAGCACAGAAGGTTTCAAAGTGCATCCCTGCATGTAGCTTTGGTTCCAAGACAGATCCCTGAAGAATATCCTTAGTCACCTCCCTCCTGCTGCCAGACAATTACATCCCCTGGCACAGGGACACAGGAGAGAAAATGAAATATAACCTACGTCCCTAACACAGCACCTGATGCAAAGATTGGTATTGCTTCCCATACAAACAACAGGCATTTTCCTAATCTGGGAGGGGGACTTTTCTCTCTCTCTGAAACTTTTCATTTTTGAACCTGTAACAAACCACTCCAGTGAGCGAGTGAAACCACAGTGCCACTCTCAGCCCCCTTCAGCAGCTGCCTCTTGTGTGAACAGCTAAGGGAGGGTCTTGTGCCAAAAGCCCTGAGGAAGGAAGGAAAACTTTTCTAAGTTCTGCAGTCCTGTTTTTCCGAGCATAAATATGAACTGGAAGTGTGCAAGCCAAGGTTTAGTGACAAGAGAAAAAAAGGAAAATCAAGATACTGATCAAAAAGCTGCAGTACAAAACCGTAACTAGGACATTGTGATGATCCATCCCTTCTTAGTAAGAGCAAGGGAAAGTTTTGTTGTATGTATTTGTGCTTATGGATTTATTTTTCATTGTTACCAAGTAAGCAGTGAAAATAAAGGTTAAAAAAGCATTTTTAAATAAAACAACAGATTTTAACCCTAATTTTTTGGATAAACTAGGAACAGATTCTGTTGATGCAAGTAGGTTCTCCTTCTCCTCTGTGACTTAATACATACATATTTAATATGGTCAGCCATACAAAGTGGCTTCTTGATACAGCATCAATTACATTTTAAAAAACTCAAAAAAACCCAAAAAAAACTTTCCTGAGAGCCACCTAAATGTGCTCCTTGCACAAAAATAAAAGAGCAAAAACTGACAGCCTAATGAAATAATCAGCTTTTACAGAGTAGCCAAATGTTGTTTACTAAAGAGTTCTATTTAACTTTTTCTTTTAATACATTAATATTTAATACTTGCTTTTCAAGACTAAAGTAACTAATCAGATCACTTTAATAAATACGTTTTTAAACACAGAGACTGCTTTAAAAATACTAAAACACTAAAGGGCTAGAGAGCGTTATCTTCAATTATCAGTTCAGAATTCTTATTGTGTTCATAACTGGCCATCTTAAGCACCTGTGGAAAAACTGTCTGCTTTGCTTCAGCAAGTCTCAAGTTTTAAAAGCAGAGTTAGGATTATAGGCACTGAGTATAAGTATTTCTAAATAGAGGGGAATTACTCACAACAGCTACCAGGTAGTTGCTATAGCAGCTGAGAAATGAAATCAAGGAAGATCTTCAAGGTTGTTAGGAGAGTGTTTAATTTATTTAGAAATATCCTGAGCAATCTTTTAATATCTTTGCTGCAGAAGCATGCAGTGATTTGTATGAGAACTGGGCAATGCAAAGATGTTCTACAACTGCAAGCGTGGAAAACTTCTTTTAATTGCAGATAGGCACAGAGAACTCCAGAACTGGCCAAAAGGCACCAACGTTCCCATCAGGAAATTTAACATATTCTCCTGCAGCCAAGAGCCCATGGCTGCACAGGAATATCTGCTGAGGGGCTCCAGCAAGCACAGGAGAAATGCCTTGGATGCTCCCTGGAAGCCAGTGCAGAACACAAACCCCTTCCATAGCCAGGTGTTGAGAGGGGACCGTGGTGTCTTTCTGAAGGATCAGTTTCTGTGAGTTATCACCTCTGAGCCAGCCACCCAGGTAAGGCAAGAGAGCACAACTTGCTTTAAACAAAGACAACAGCATCAGGATGAACCACTTTAAATGGTACTTTCCCCTTCCTTGGTACTCCAGAACAGCTGTGTCTAGGGCCTGGAAGCCCAGACGTTCCTTTCTGTTCTACCAGAAACCTCTTTGTGGTATTCCAGTAGCAGAAATAACTGATCCCACTCAGCTTACATCAACAGGGACAGAAATTTTATTGCCTTAACCCAAAGGCAAATCTTAAAACTTTGCATGGTTTAGCAGGAGCACAGAGAAAACACACAGTGGGTTTTTGGACAGAGACTGCTCTAACCAAACCCAAACTACTAAAGCCCAAAGGCATAAGCTCAGAACAGTGACTCATGCCAAGAAGATTATTTTTGCACATATTACTTGTGGAATCAGGATAATTTACACTCCTATTTCCCCCCCCGCCTTTTTTTTTTTTTTTTGCCAGTGCACCTCCCAGCAGCAAACCCTCAGGTCCACACTTTCTGCAGACTATTTGCTTCAAAATGCACAAAAATGACCTTCCAGCCAGCAATGACAGATCTACTTTTGAAAAACTGATATGCCACTCCCCACTTGTAGTAACTAAACTCCAGCTATAAGCAGCATTTTTCACCTATTTTCCTCCTCTGGAGGATTATCAACAAATTTCAATTACAAGAAAAGTAATTAAAGCTACTCAAGAATAAAAAAAGCTTGCCTAGAGATTACCAAAACTTGCACAACTCAGCTGTTACCTCAGCCCTACCTACAGGTGTGCTGTCTGCAAAAGAAAAATCCCCATCCTTAGAGGAATATTTTCCAGCCCAGGGAACATCACTGAAATCACATTTTTTTTCATTCACTGCTCTCCCTTCCACATGCCTCTTCCAGACTTGTTTACAATCTGACTGGAGATTTCCCAGCTTTTCTTTTCAAATATCTGCATAAAAAAATTAGTTCACCTGTTTTCTGGATCAAGGTAAAACAAGGATTTTCTTATTTGAGCACATGGGCCAAACACAAAAACAAACACTGAATATCAAACGCTGTGACGTGGCAAAGAAAAACAACTACAGAAACAGAAGGAAAACAACAAGATTTGGAAGACAAATAATTATTTTCTGAAGCATCCACTACAATTACAGCAGTCAGTTTCATCCTAGGGTAACAGAGGCGGCCTTTGCCCAGCAGATGAGGTATGAAAAAAAGTACAGCATCAAGTCATTAAAATACCCCAGCAAAACAACAACTTCGCATTCCTGAACGCATCCAGCTGGGATGTACCAGGGCTTGTTAAATTCATATTCTCCCAGCGACCAACAGACACAGCAACAGGATTGGAAGCAACGACTTCCAGGTGTTATTTTCTGCCACTTGTTTATATTACCCTCATCTGATGCTGCATTTTATTTTATTGTTTTTAAACAAAAGTGATTTGCTTCATCCCTCTTTACTAGGAAGACAAGTGGGACATACTAACAAGTACATCTTGTTCTTGCTGTACAAGATGAAAAATTAGCAAGAAGTATTTTTTTATAATTAAATTAACAGAAAGCATTTTAACAAAGAGGCATTAAGGCTTCTAATTGCTCATGAGTTAATTGCCAAAATCCCACTTTAACAGTTCCAGTTAACAGATCGTGTAGCAAATTTGTTGATACTATTTTAAATATTTTGTAGAAATCAATCATCACTACACACTGTGGAACTTAAAAATCAATATGCACAACTGATAACTATAAATTTAATGAGGCGTTTAAGTAACTAATCAGGGTAGCAGTAGTAGCTTTTATTATTATAATACAAATCAACAGTTTTAAAAAAATTAAATCGAAATGAGCAAAAGCGAAGTAAAAGGCATTCTGCATCTTCCACTTCATTAGATGTAACATTTCTGCTCTTATCAGGGATTTACACGCTAAAATAACAAACCAAAGCCGCCAACGGTGATGCCTCAGATTAGAGCAACCACGAGGCCAGACGACTGTAAAATGTGATTTACCGAAACAACGAAAAAGCAGCGCAGTCCGCACGCCCAGAGGCCCCGGGCCCCGCTCCCGGCCCGCCGCAGCCCCCGGCCCGGCCGCCCCCTCGGCCCGGCAGGTGCAGCACCGACGCCCCCTAAAGACACCGCGGCGCCGCCGGCCCCTTCCCAACTCCATCCACACATCGCCTCGCTCCGCAGATGGAAACGCAGGGAAAAGGGAACCGCGCGCTTAAGTAGATTAAGGGCTCAGCAGCTCGTTTTCTGATTATTTGTGCGATCCCGACCCCAGCGCGGGCCCCCGAACTCCGCTCGTCTCTCGCATCGCCGCGGCGGCGCTCGGGGAAATAACGCGAACCGAGGCGCACGCAGAGCACATCCAGCGGTGCGGGCAGGGCAGGGGAGGCAGCGCCGGGCAGCCCCCACAGCCCCGCGGGCAGCGCTGCCCCCATCCCGGCTCAACCTGAGGGGCAGCGCTGCGACCACCGCCGGCCCCGGGGGAGGGGAACAGCCGCCCCCCCACACGCGCAGCACAGCCACCGGGGTCCGGCGGGGAGAGGAGGGGGCGCGCGGGGCGGGGGCGGGATGCGGCAGCACCTACCCACGCCGTATTTCTCCTCCTCGGTGGGACTCCACATGCTGCTGGATGGCTCGGCCGCGGCCGCCGGTCCCCGGGCAGAGCGCGGCGGGCGGGCGGGCGCCGCTCATCGAGCGGGGGCGGCTTCTCCTCCCCCCTCGCTCAGCGGGGGCGACGCGCCGGCAGCCCCCGCCCCACGCTCCGGCCGGGGCTGTGCTCAGGGGTCGCTTCGCCGCTGTCGGGGGGCGGGGGGAGGTCGCCCCCCGCCCGCCCGGGCGGTACTGGCCGCTGCGCCGCTCTCCTCCGCGGCCGCTCGCCGCCGGCCCGGCGCCTCTCCTCGCGCAGCCCCCGCGGGCTCCGGCCCTGCCGACGCGGCGGCCCCGCGGAGCTCGGCGGCCCCGGGCCCCCTCCTCGTCGTTCTTGTTCTCCTCCTCCTCCTCCCGAGCCGCCGCTCCCGCCGCCGCCGCCTGAAGGACTCGGGGCTGCCGCGCCCCCCCTCACGCTCCCGGCGGACCTGGCGCGCACGCGCGACTCGCGCCGCCCCCCCTCCCCGTGCGGCCGCACGAGGCGCGCGCGGGCGCGAGGCGCGGGGAGGCGCGTGCCCTCTGAGGGCGGGAAGGGGAGCGGCCGGACCCGGGACATCCCATCCCGTCCCCGTCCCCATCCCAATCCCATCCCGTCCCCGTCCCGTCCTCGCCGCACCTGCCGGCCCACGCGGCTCCCGGCAGGCCGGCCCGCAGTGCAGCACCGGGGCCGGCCCGACCCCCGCCCCGGGCTGCCCGCGACACGGCCCCGAGCCCCGGGCAGCGCTAACCCCAGGCACCACCAGCGTTTAGATCGCAATTTGGCTGATACTGTGTTTCCTTCTCTTGTCGGTATTATTAGCCTCCAGGGCTTCCAAAGAGCTGGCGAAATTCGTATGGTTTCCACAATGAACACGTACCCAAAATGGGAAACGGTCTTTAGATTTCATCAGTTCAGCTTCCACTTCCTTCCATAAAAACTGAATTTGAATTCTTCACAGCAAAGGAAAAGCTGAAATAAGTTATACAAAAGTTTTCCTGCAACTGAAATTTTACTCCCTGCAATATTCTAATGGACCAGTGCCCTTGCCCCAGTCAGAGCCTCTGCAAAAATGCTTTATACAGCCTTTTCAGAAACCTTTGTAAACAACTTGCTTGATGTGAAGTTTTAGGATTGCACTAAACTTTTTAACAATATAACTTCAGATGTACCCAACACTTTTAATAGAATATCTGTTCTCTGATTATATAATAAAACAGAATGAAAGTCATCAACTTGCACTACAGAACTTGGGTTGCTGTGGAAACCTTCATTATTTATTTTTTTAACACGTGCAACTACTGTTTCCTCACGGAGCAGGGCCAGGTTTCTGTTTGGGTTTTGGTTTGGTTTTGGGATGTTGGGTTTTGTTTTCCTGTGTGGAGAGCAAACAGCAAGTGGCCAAGAACTGAGTGTGCTTGTACATTATTCATTTTAAAAAAACCAACTTATTCTATCCTACCTTAATTCATATTCACATTTAGGCATTTGTATTTACAATAGCTCCGTTCCTTCCCTTCCTGAGGCACTCCCACAGCATGCAGAAATAGCTTTTTGAAGGGACAAAGCATGACAAAGTCATTGAGTTGCATCTGTTGGAGATAGGCTGCTCCAGCGTTTGAGAAAATGTTTTTGGTTTTTTAACTCTGTATATGTCAATAATAAATACCTTTCAGTCTCTTCTGAGTACTTTGGGAACAGAAAACCTCGGCAGCAACAGGAACTGGTTAATTCTTCCAGGCTCTTTATTCCACAGTCTCAGCCCTTCAAGGATTCTTCTTGCTGTCAAGCTGACCAGTACTTGATAAAAAACCTGATATTTTTTTGCTCAAGAAAAAATACAGCATGTTTTTTTCCCAAACTACAACCATTTCTGAGTTGACTCTTCCCTTAAAGTAAACCCAGATTGAAAGTGAACTTGGGGAAGGCAAGTGAGACCCTTCTGAGGTTAGATAAACTCTGAAAGGACACCCAAACAGCTGGACAGAATAGGACCTGCAAGGACCTAACAGCATACAGAAAGCACTTCATTTAAAGGCCATATGTGTGATCATGGACATACAAATGACAGCATGACAAGGGACACACACTGATGGCAGATTACCTGGATTTGAAACACAACACACATTATTGCATGGTTATTCCTGATTGTTTTCTGCACTGTTGCTGGTGAAGGCAGAGTCAGTAGATGACCATATGACCCACATGACTTCAGGAAGAAAAACAGTCAATGTGCTTAGCTGTAGAGTCAGTGGAATGCAAGTTTCTTTAAGTTAAAGTTACCAAATATATTTACACCTGTTCCTCTGATCTCTGCATCCACCCCTTTAATGAGGCTCCTATCACCTCCACAGAAATACTGATTGCTTTAGTAAACACTCTTAGCTTAAGTGTAGCAAGGAACAAACATCTCATCCTCCCACGGAGGCAGAGCCACAAATCTCCCAGGCTCCAAACTGGAATTCAGGATTACCCACGTGCAAAGGAGAGACCAAAGCAAACAGCCACTGCTGCAGAACAACTGCGTCTGCTGTCTCTTCTCTCTCTTAACAGAGCTCACTCCTGCCAGCTTCAATATTCATACTGCTGTGGAAAGCACAGGAAAAGCAGAGAAGTACTGTAACAAGCAGAAACAAGAAATTCTCAGGGTTATATGGCCCTGGGTTTTCTTTCTTTTTCTTTTTTTTTTCCTGGAGCTGTTTTTGTTTTCCCTTATAAAGTTTGCACATTGAAAACACTACATAAAATTGGAATCCAAAGCCTACTTCTAGAAAGGTTTTGTTAAGAAGTTTTTAAAATTGGCATCAGCAATCAAACTAAAATTTAAAATCTCATGTAAGTGTCAGAGCTCCTACAAGAAGAGCTTCTGTTGGTGGGCATTGTGGATCCCAAAATTAATGACTTTCAGAGAAAAGGGGCCTCCCCTTGCACAAGTCTTTGAGGCGCTGTTCTGTCACTAAACTCTTGTGTTGCACTGTACTGAAATAAAGGCAAATACAAGCTTCAAGACCTTATTTAAATTAACAAATCAGTCAGCAGAAAAGCACTAATCTCTGAAAAACACTGTGTAAAGTTACTTAATGTCCGCTGTGCTCAGGAGTTGTCCTGTCAGAGGTATTGTGAGTTGCTTATGGTTCTGCTACTGCAAACACAGTTGTCCTTATCCAAACAGAGCAGACAGCAATGTTTAACACAGTGTTAATTAAAATACATTAGAGAGTTCATCCTATATTGTCCTGTCTTGCCATAATATAGATGTGATCTGAAAGACAGCTGGTTTGGGATTGGAGAGATTTGACACAGTATCTTTCTCTTAAATAGATCAAGGGAACTGCACAATCCTTTCAAATGCTCTGCAAGGGACAATGGAAGGTCAGAGTGCAGAAAGCAGAGAGATTCTTACACCTCCCTGCAAGCAGCTTTCTCTCAGTTATCCCACCTTAAGGTACCACAGAACATATCACCCTCCTGCCCTCTTTTTCAGGGAAGTGCAGCCCCACACTTTACCCTTTCTCCCCATTCTCAGGCCTATAGTTGCTGGTAACTTCCATCATTACTTCAAGCATCTGTTGCAGAAAGATGGCCCAGGGCCCTTGCCATCAGAAAAAAAATAAAAAAAATCAGAGATGAATTTCAACTCGCTGTGACAGACCAGACAATCTATTTCATTACATTCCCTCCTTTTCTACACTTGAGGTTCTGAGTTTTTATTTTGTTAAGACGAATTAAGCCACTGAACAACTTTCCCATTAAATTATGCATTACTCACTTGCAGGGAGAAACAAAGAGATGCAAACCAAATCCACTCTATCATCATCTGTGATGACCTCACAGGTCCTTTTGAAGCACCAAGTGTTTCTACTTTATGTCTCAAAAGGGATTCTGATGTCCCAAGAACTGACCTGTTCTTCCTTTTGTGGAGTCATCTTCTAAAACTTTTAAGCAGGAGGTCTCAGGTTTTGATGCACAAACCCAAATTCTATTTTTTGTCCTATTGCACAGGGCCATCTCATTGATTTCTTCCTTATGAGGATCAAACCAGCAACTTAGAAATCTAAATGCAGCAAATGGTAGATTTTTCTCTCCAAGGCATCACAGTGTTTGTGCCCCACAGCTTCACACACTTTTAATTGGGATGATTTCTGATTAGTGCTCAGGACTGGGGAGGATGTTAAAGTCCATTATCGTAGGACTCTTTCCAAATTTTTAATTCAGAAGGACTTCCTTATAAACAAATCTGCTCCCAGCCCTCAACATTTCTCAGAGTGGCAGGAAAGGAAGCAGAACTCCATCCAGCAGCAGCATTCCCAGCATGCTGCTGTCACTCCATCATTTATTCCCTACGGAGTGCCTGAAGCAGCAGCTCATGACCAACAGCAACCAGCACACATTCCACTTCAACATGTAAGATGCAGCAAGCAGAACTTTCTGGTAAACCTGGGAACATCTCAATTACAATAGTTCTGGTCTTCCATTCCAGAATTTTTCTTTCATGCAAAATGGAAGTCAGCATAAAATATTCCAGTACTTCTTCTATTTTTGGTGCTGTCTTCCTTAGAGTAAAGGGAATCTAAAGTCGGGGGAGGGGCAGAAAAAGAGGTGTTTTCATATCCTTCCAGAACATTAGACATGTGGGGTTAAGAATCAACAAATAAAACTCCCCATAAAACTGTCTATTACAACCAATTTACACAACAGTTACAAACATAATATTAAGAGTTACTTTCACTCTATTTGTAACATTGCTTGAAAACAAATTATAAAACCAGAAAAAAACAGGACTTGCAAAAGGACATATATAGATCAAAGTGG